CCACCATCATCCCAGTTCCTAAGAAAGCAGATGTAACGTGCCTGAATGACTACCGCCCAGTGGCTCTGACCTCCATAATCATGTAGTACTTTGAGAGGCTGGGCATGGCCCACATCAGCTCTAGTCTCTCAGCCTGCCTCGATCCCCTACAATTTGCCTACCGACGCAACAGGTCCATAGCAGAAGCCATTTCCCTAACCCTGCTCTCATTCCTGGAACGTCTGGACGACAAGGACATCTACATCAGACTCTCGGTCATCGACTACAGCTCTGCCTTCAACACCATTATCCCCCGCCACACTGATCTCAAAACTCCAATACCCTGGTCTCGGTTCCGCCTTCTGCAACTGAATCCTTAGCTTTCTGACCCACAGGCCACAATCAGTGAGGATAGGTAACTGCACCTCCTCCACAATAACCCTCAACACTGGAGCCCCCCAAGAATGTGTCCTCAGCCCCCTACAGTACTCCCTGTACACGCACAACTGTGTTGCCAAATTCTAAACAAATGCCATCTACAAGTTTGTTGACAACGACACCTTGGTAGGACGGATATCCAACAGCAATGAATCGGAATACTGAAAAGAGATAGAGGGCTTGGTGACGTGGTGCAGTGAGAACAACCTGTCTCTCAACGCCAGCAAAAGGAAAGAACTGATCATTGACTTCAGAAAGAAAGGAAGAAAACATGCCCATGTCTGTACCGTCGGAGCTGATGATGTGGGCATGGAGACCGTCAAGTTCCAGGTAGTGATGATAACCAACAACCTGTCCTGGATTTCCCACTTCGATGCGATGGTCAAGAAGGCACAACAATGCCTTTTCTTCCTCGGGCAGCTTAGGAAATTTGGCATGTCCGTAAGGACTCTCACCAACTTTTACTGATGCATCATTGTAAGCATACTGTCCGGGTGCATGACAGCCTGGTATGGCAACTGCTCTGCCCAGGACCATAAGAAACTGCAGAAAGTTGTATGCACAGCCCAGACAATCACAGAAGTCAACCTCCCAGGTGTAGACTCCATTTACATGGCTCACTGCCGTGGAAAGGCTGCCAACATCATCAAAGACCCATCCCACC